AGAAGGCTAGTTTCGCATATGCCAGTTTACGCCGTCTCTGGCGTATACCTGATATATGTCTGGCTATCGATCAAAGGGCGTGTGCGCTGCACAACATCCGTCCGCTCCGTCCTCCATTATAGCTCTCAGTGAAACATGGTCATTGAGAGTGGAAGGCATGAAAAGATTAGCTGTCTTTGATCATAGGTGCCAGTGTTCTATCTCCCGTGTGAAGTGGTATAATAGGGTGGGATATGTTGAGGTTAGGCATCGGTCGAGTGCTAGGTAAGGAGGGAGGGGAAATCAACAGACGAGGCTGTGAAGCAGCTGCACAGATTGAGATGGTTAGGACATGTGTTACTCATGCAAGACTAGTCATCGCCTTCCTCAACGGGAAATGTTAACTGACATAGGGTCAGGCTGAAAAAGAGCCAGTGGTGATGGTGAAATCAAAACATGGCACCAGCCAATAAAATCTACAACATTTAATTTAAGCCAGCCACGTAGGAAGATTTAGACTTCTTGGAGACTGTTTGGGGTCATCGGAATGGTAATAAGAACCAATTGCGGCTGGAGACAATCGGTGATATCTCTCAAAATCGTTGTCAATCGATGACACAGATGCCTTCACTCTTGTGATTTTTGATACCCAATGGAACTTTATTGTTCTCCCAGCATATCACCATTATTTTTGCCTCATATCTCTGTTGACTGTCTTTATTTTACACTTCTTTTTACTTCCTTCTCTTGCTTTGTGTGCTAAGTGAAGTCTAGCGACTCAAACTGCTGCACATCAGTGCGAAGTTCCATGTTGAAACCTGCCAGCCAGCTACTATAAAAGGGCGACTGGAACACTTGCAAGAACTGGTGAGAAATCACTCTACTCTCCACTCTGGGTGAAATATTATGTCACGTCATCTTGGAGAAGCTAAAATATACTCAGGATGCAACGAATCGACCAAGAACCCATCGCCCAACAACATGCAGAAGATAATAGAGGTGGATGGGTTTTAAATAGGCTGAGGGATTCATTGTGTGATATCACGCAGTAGGCAAACCTTTGAATGGAGACCGAGTGGGGAACGACAAGTTTGGTGTTAGTCGGGGGGGGGGGTTGAGATGAAGATTTAATGATAAGCAATAGAAAGCTTATGGGCTATCATGAAGTTAGCTAAGAAAGACTACTGTTAACAAGGTGAAGTGGGGATGCGCTGCTAAAGTCCTCTGTTGGACATGAAATCCAAAGAAGTACAGTTTTAACCACATGCAGAATGGATGAAGATGTTGTAATCTCGACTTATTTCTATTTTCTGCTCTTTTATTAGGCTGGGTTCACAACTGCTCACAATCTGTCATCTCCCCTATGTTACCCTCGCACCAACGACCCACTCGTCGGCGCTTCCCATTGGCATTCCAATCGAGTAATAGCCTGCAGTGTGTGCGATGTCAACTAACAGCCTCCTCACTGTATGCCCGATACATCTCCATTTTCTCCTACATATCTCTGTTGAGCAGTTGGCTCTCGCCTGTTGGTTTATTGACAGTCAGTCAGAGTTTCTTTTTTGCTTATTCTTTCTGGCCAGCCTACCGGATGGCCATTTGATCTTCAGCATGGAGCCAGAGAAGGTGGCGGCTGTTGATAAAAGTCTGCGACAGCATATTGGAAGCGCTTTTTGTGATACGCTAGTCAAGTTTCTGACCCATAAACACAAAGGTGAGGGAAAAGAAGAAAGTGAAAATGAACTGTAATGAATAAAAATGTAAAAAGTGATAAAATACTCTTAGTCTTCATTAGTTGGTAAATATTCCCAGTGTGGATTATAGATAACTTATTAGTTTTATTTGATGTTTGAGTCCTTCAGTAAAATCTCCAATTGAAGATCAGCTCTGAACTATTTAGCATATAATGATGAATTGCGTATTTCACTTCTTAGATGTGATGCTAAATAGAAGAGAGGGCAGCACGCTGAAAATGCTGATCTACCGAAAGTCAACATTTACACGTCAGTACACTAACTTCAGCAGTTGGGTGGGCGCCTCTAGGTAGGAAGAGACATTTTATCCATCGTCTATGCTCCAGAACTTTGAAAATTTCCTCTGTAGATATGGTCGACATAGGATTAGAAAGCCTTCGCATAACTCTGTTAAATAATGGATATTCTAGAAGGTTTATCTACAGAAATATTAAGAAAAAAACCATTCTCAGCCAAATCACAGTGCCAGAGAAGACACTGCTTATAAGTTTGGCGTTCAAAGGTGACAGTATTTCTGAAGTTGTTCATCTAAATGTATTAAACACTGTTTTTGTGCAGCTAACTAAATTTTGCCAGCCGAAATATTATTCGATAATAGGTTAGGGATAAACTACCACCGATGTTCACCTCTATGTGCATAAAGACATTCACATGCTCCTCTGTAGATGATTACATTGGACGTTGTAAGCGTAATCGCCATAAACGCATAGCTAAACACCACCCGGTTTGGTTAATGAAAGGTGAGAAAAGGATGACAAAGTTTTCAATTGGTGAACACCATCTGGAGTCAGGTCATTCAACCCCAAGTGATTTATCCTTCAAAGCTATTTACAGGACTAAATCTAACCACTCCAAAAACTTAAGTTCTCTCCACTTATGCATACCCAATGCTCTAGATATACATGGACAGAAACCTAAACTATGTATTCAAAAGCATTTTGTTAAACTTTGGTCATAGTTGTGTCCTTTCATTTTATCACTTGAATTCACTCAACTTCACTTCATCTTCGCCGTTTTTACTGTTATCATTATCACACTGTTAATTTTCTTAGACAACACTTGACCTACTTATTGATTTAATAATCTTTAAAGGTTTTTTGTAATTCATCTACTTCAACTCTACCGTGGCCCCATTAATACATCATTTAAATTATCTTTATTCTTATCATCATATGTGCAATATCAACTGGGCAATTTCTAGTGCCACCTGATGCCTTTTTCCGTAATACAAATACGACTTTACAGCTTGAAAATGAAGTCATTGTGAAGAGATATTTCTTCAATGGACAAAAAACTGTGTTTTTCCTTATAAACTAATGGATATATCTCGCAATTACAAGTAAAAGTGTCAATAGTAGCGATATAAAAATATAAATACAAAAAATAATGATAGTAAGATGAATGTCTGAAGAAGAGGTAGGCAACGAATAACTAATCTACCTTAAACTATGCAGAAAATCACAGTAGTTCAAATCGTCAGTCTTGGAAGAAGCCTAAATCTTATTCGCGAAGGAAATAAAACGGTACAGAAAAGTATTGTAAAAGAGTTACAGTGAAAAAAGTGTAGCAGAGAAGGAATAATTGGAGAAAAAGAAATGAATGTATAAAAAATCTGAGAACCTATACAAGGGATCCATGCATATATACCATTAGAAGGGATTTCAAGCCGTGTATCCCAAGGATCCAGTCCAAACAGTCTACGCCTCTTCACAGGGTCCCAATCAAACATCAAAGACGTTTGGGATAGACAGACATTTGGCTTGTGTAACACATATTCTAAGGATTCATTAACGTCTTGGGCTTCCACGACAATCTACGCCTGACCTCATTATTACTGACTACGTAACAACATCTGACAAGAGACAAAGGATGAAAACCACTAATCTGTCCATATTTTCCACCTTTCAGGGCTGTATCTGATAACTGTAGAGAAACATTCGACACAGTACGAGCATCCTCTGATGTCTAGCCGAATATTGCGCCGACACAAAAGATGACGCAAGTCGGTTAACGTTAAGAAGGAATTTCCATATTTGTACTTAAATCTCATCAAAAACCTGTCTATTCAGACTTGGGTGATCTTTTAAGTAAGCAATTTGACTAATAAATTGAACTTTTCACTCTTTATCCTCAGACAACTAGTAAACGAAGAGTGCAGAATCTAATCGCACACTTAGATTCTGATTTCTATGTTCTTTAGATTCTACATTTTGTCAGCGTTCTCACTTAGAAGGGTTTAATAATCTGCGCACTTTAGATCAACAAAACTGCACCCTGGTAACAAGTCAATCCCGGACACATCAAAGTCAAATTGTGTCATACCTTTTAGTACATTTAAAATGAAGCCAAATAAAAATGGCAACACTAAGCATCCCTGACGACAACCTATGTTTATTTTCAATTTAGAAAAAATCTCCCCGTTGGTTCTTGCATGACTGCATAAATTTTAGTGGAACGTTTTAAGTAGCACAATGTACTTCCTTAACAGTCCCCTTAAAGTCAAACTCCTAGTCGATGAAGGGAGACAAAAGCAACCTTAAAGATTAAAAAGTATGCAAGGTTTCGGAAGCCAGTAAATATATGTCCATGATCTAGAATATATCGTCTGGCTGGATTATGATTAATCAAAACACACCGCAGACTCAAATCCACCCAAGTATTGCTCTGATTCTTAGCCTGACTATGGTTCCATGAGATGTTACATGTTATTTTATTAGTCAAGGTGATTTTCGCCTGGTTATTATAAGAGGACTTGCCACTTTTCTTATAAAGTTGGACGATAGACAAATTACACCAGTTCACTGAATGAACTTCTGATTCCTACAGACACACTTACTGGTGCCGCAGACAATCCAGCCAATAATTAAAAGCATAGTATTTAATTTTATTCAAATGTAAAAATTTACTTGCTACCCATGTGAAATAATAAAAGCAAATCATTTAGATTTTGTGAATAAAATAGTTGTTGGTCCTTATGGTGAACAAAAAACAATTTAATTAAGTCTGTCTTGATAAAGCATGGCACAATAAATCCTTCAACAGATCATAATAACCCAATTATGTATGTTTAAGAACAACACCTAACCTCTTACAGTCTGAACTTATGAAATAGGTCTAGACTTTTTAATTAAAGTATAAGGTAGCAGCGCTATAATCGAATTTTTTCACTCCTTTATTATCACCATGATAATCATAGAAAAACGCAAGGGCTGATTAATACAACTCATAGTCTAAATTTTTGACAAACAAGACTATAAAAAGGTAGTTCTGAAAGAGTCATTTTATTATCAGAATTGTCAAAAACTAACAAAATATTTGATATAAATGCCTTTGAATTCTAAAGAAGTTATATATACAAGGAAGCTTTCAAGTGGTGGGCGGTATTTTAGGATATTAGGTAGAGCACAATGGTTTTTGTAACATATTGTTCACATTTCCACGCCAAATTTATCGAAATTTCTCAGAATAACATTTAAATTCAGTGTCAAATAACCCATACTCTCAGTCTGGAGGAGGAATCTGTCAGTTGGATCGTAGACAATATCTGGTCTACGAAGATGAGGACCGCCGCCAACTAGCCTTGATGTTAGAGTATCCAGAACTGAGCCAACAGGTCTCCATGTAGGAACCGTTACCTGCCAAGTAATTTTTTAACAGACAGAAACATACCTCATGATTACCAGGAGATGTTGGAATATGGCAAAATCCATATCCGAATAGCTCATTTTTCCCGACCCAGTCATGATGCCATACTTGGAAGTGTAGTTTTGGCCAACCTATTTTTATATAGGTATATAATATAGTCAAACCTTGCAAGCCTTTGGTTGCAAAATGTAGATCTATGGGATGACAAAAATAAGCCTTTTCACCGACTACTGGGCAGTCAACTTGGGTTTCTCCTTCGCTCGTGCCTTCAATTAATCTCCAAGCACCACCTTGTTAACTGAGATATAACCTGGACACATACCGAATTTAAGACCCCATTTACAGAATAAGTCTTTCTCTGGAAATCCGTGTCCACTTAAAATTTGTCCAAAACAGTGAACTTCAGCCATCAGGTGTGACACATTCAATAGTGTGTCCTAACAACAATCATCATTTTCAATTGAGTAAAACTATTCAATATCCAATATTATTTTTACGAGGTAGTTTAAACCATTTTGATTTATTTGTGCTCGCTTCTTGATTACGAGGTAAAGGTTCCCGATCTTCAGTAAACTTCTGCGTAGCTTGTCCCGTCACTCGACTGTCGTAGCTTTGGTTGACTCCGAAAGGAGTAGTGCTGGGATTAATTACATGATGCTTGTAGTATGCGGTGTGTTAAGACTGTGAATGGAGTTGATCCTTTCACCAGTTGGTCCCCCAGTTTCGTTATCAAAAGAAAAGAGATAATCATAATCGATAAAATTAGAGTAGGGTATTCAGACTAACAGACAGAAAAAGAAATATGGAAAACGTAAAACTGCTTATTAAATTTGAAGTTGATACATATAATATCGGTAACAATAATATTAATAACAAGTGCAGTGGTTGGAGTTGTCAGGAGAGTAGGACGGCAGAGAATGTAAAGAAGCAAAATGACGACTTCAGTTGTCTACCCATGAATGGTGTATGGGATTTTAAGGGGATAGGCCATTTGCTTGCAGTCCTGTGCTTTTTAAGTGAAGTTTTGCACTAAAAAGCTTTTTTGACATACGTTTTATCGATGGCATTATATTCTTGAACTGCTTGATATTTGCTGCACTTTTTTCGTTTGATACTGTTTTCTGAACAACGCAGCGTGTTTAGCAACTGAGTAGATTCGGAAATTAAGCGTGTACTTTTGGGTTTTCATGAAATTATGCTATTCCGTTTGGGCTATTTGTCGAAACATGACAACATTGACCGGTAGCATCACTTCCAAAAAGGAATACATCATATTGTAACAACAGAAGACAAAGGCCGGCAACAGATCGTTTTTAGTACAGAAATCAGCACGTATTTATACATATCTCATGTACATTATTATAGCTTATTCAGGCAGACAAACACAGTCTTCTGATTGGTTGTTTCGGGTTTCTCGGAAAGTTAAGCCATCCATCTGCTAATCTTATTTGCCCACGTTAAGTTTGCTGTGTGATTGGTTGTTGAATCAGCCTTGTTCATATTTTTTCACGGCCAATATTAGTGACCTAAACATTGACGTAAATTAATGTCTATCAATTGGCTAGCAGCCTGCTCTCATCACAATATTATCACACCTAATTGCCTTATCCTTAGTAGGCATTGGGACTAAGACGCATGACAAGCGCCGATAGAGATCTACTGAGAGTTTATGGCAAGGGATATACCTTGTTCGCCAATTAATATTTCAGTTTCAATAGATATTCCTAATCAGTTGATAAAAATTATGTCATAATTTTAATTTGAGCATAAAGTATAGAATGGCAATTAAGCCTGCCTCAACTTCATCTACTTCGAAAAGGCCTTCGACAGGGTTGACCAGGAAGTATTCCCAGCAAAATTACTGCCCGTGTTCACACCTCTGTTGGGAAACAATTCCAATAGTGGTGTGAAATATTACCAGTAACAAAACTTATCATTGTGTGTAAACTATTGAAATATAATTATACTTTATTTGACCTAATATACAATGCTCAAACTTTTCACTGATATTGACCGGGAAGCTTTTTGAAAATACTTCAACACTACGGCGTACCTCAAGTCTTTATCAGCCTCATCCAACAGCTGGCTATAGGACTATGTCACGTGTCAGGTGATCCACAACAAGAAACTCAGCGAGGCGTTCGAATTGAACACAGGAGTAATGCAGGGCTGCACGCCTATTATTCCCGATGATATTTTTAATTGTGGTGGACTGGATTATGCATCAGACTGTGCTTGGGAGCGAGGAGACGGGAGTACACTGGGCTACCGATGACAAGGTCTGGATTTCGCGCGTAGATGATATATGTCTAAGGTCAAACTAACTCAAAGACTTACAGGCGATTAGCAGCAAACTGACACAAGAGGCTAGCTGGCATCGAACATAAAGAAAACTAGGGTGGTGAAGATGATCAACAAACAGCAAAAACAACCAGCACCCACCACCATCACTGGGAGAGATTTAATAAAGGTTACTTCCTTCACTCATCTGGTCAGGCAGCACTGTTTCAACCAGAGGCAGCCGGGACGGATGGGGATGTCTACGTAGGCCAGTCAGAATCGGAAAGGCCAGATACTCCTTCATCAACCTGAAATCTTTCGCATCGCACTCAAGATGTTTCAACGCAAGTGTGAAATCAGTCAGTCACTTCTTCAATACTGGTCAGAAACGTGACCACTGTTTCATGAAAAGCATTTCCAAAAATGTTACGGACTTATAATCAACAGCTGTCACACTCACTGGCTGGCTCCGTACTGAAGATGAAGTGACCAGTCAGCCAGTTTGTCAGAAAGAATAAGTAACACGTAGCTGTGGAAACAAACCAACCGAGGGTCGATTGCTTAACGAATACTTTGGGGAAATCGGAGGTGGACCAGGCCTAAGAGATTACGGGCAACAGTGAGGGTATCCAGCTAAAGAGGATGGCAGTAAATAGAGGAAAGTGGAGATGTGTCGTTGAAGCCTTATGTTCCACTCGGAATGCAAGGGAGTATCATATAATAAAAAAATCGGCACTACTCAATTCGCAGGCAGCTTAAACCGTACAAAATTTAATAGAAGAACGCTTCACATCAAACGTCGGATTATATGACAGATTTAAATAAATAACGACTACCACGTGCGACAAAATTAACGAAATTACTTTCAAACTAACCACCTTTTGTCAGCTCCACGGAAATGCTGTCAGTTTCACTTCATCAGGCAAACAACATATCCTTTGTTCGTTAGGATAGCCTATTTGGTTTAAAACAATAGAAATATGCGTGTTATGGCGCTGAATAATGGCCATTTCATAGAATAACATCGCAGAAGCATCTAGACGACTGTCTGTTTATTATTAGTGTTTATGCAGATCATTCCTTAGATTTCTGTCTGCTGTCCATTATGGAATCCAAGCCATTTTAGTGTTTCCATATTAGTTTGTTTCATTGTGTGGTACGTCTAATAAACAAACTAATATGGAATTAACTACCACCACAGTGCCCAAGTTTTACACACGTTTTAGCATTATCAGCTACCAACATCTGAACACGTAAGCTACCTGTAGTCGCAAAACAAGCCATCAGAGGAGCTATCATGAATAGTGTGGGAAAAAGAGCAATACTTCAAAGAGTAGTTCACGTAAAAATTTCAAGTTCTGTGAATGCATTTGTCAAACAAGTCCCATAAATCGTTAATGCCCGGTTTTTGCTACTCTGGGCCTCACGTTGTCCCTCGAAGATTTTCAGAAACGCTTAGTATTAACCGGCGAAAAAACCAAAACACTGTTTGGCGAGTCAAGAAATTCTTTATTCTAACGCCAACATATAACCGACAATACTGTTATTACAGAGAAAGGTCTAAGAACGAATGTTGTAGCAATAAATCACGATATTACTTCTGATAGTCTTCTAATCTTCCTTCTGAACAGCGACCGATGAGACGATGACTGGTGGATTGATGGGGAAGTTGGGCTTGAGCAAACAACCGTGAATTGATCGTTCAATCTTCAACTACATTGGCACTATTTGATTACGGCACTATAAAGAATCGTCATGTGACGTTGTGGGAGACCTAAGAAGCTCACATATTCGATTTAACCTGAGCCATTTCATTTTCATTGGTAAATTTGTTTATCTGTATGGACAGGATAGGATGGCTGACAACTGGAATTTTAGTGGATGAGAGAATGGTTGCTGCATTGTGGTGTAATCGCGTATCCCCACATTCTCTTTATACCAACGTTAATAAATACATTCTTGAACATCCGTGAGGGCCATGTTCTCCCATCCCTATTTGGGGCGGTTTTAAGAGTATTCAGGCCACCAGGGTAGGTGGGTTGGGCCAAAGAATCAGCAGATGGTCTGACCAAAGAGCAGATCTGGCAGAATAGGTGGCCACACACAGCCGAATCGGAAGAGAGCTCAAATTCGTTCGGGCGGCGTAACTAACTGGCTTCCTGCAAAATCATGCATGTTTATTTGTTTCGTACTCACGTTTTGGCAGAAATGCATCTTATCATAATAATAATTTATAATAATAATTTATATTTTCATATAAACATATAAATTTACATGAAAATGCATGCCACTTTTACAGGCACGATCAAGTATGATATAATGTCATATCTTAAATTGTCTACAAGTTAATTATATTTCAACAGTTAAAAATTTGAATTATATATAAATACACTCATTGTCTGAACCAGGCCGTATAGTTATTGAATTGCACAGTTGTCCTCCAGGTTGGGTGGGAATGGCGACTTCGTTTCGTTCTCAACCCGTGGTTGTAGGCATACGATAACCAACAAATATTGAGGTTAGTACAGCGTTTACTAGGGATCGAAAGCGGTTTTAGAAAAGTAAAAGTGCTAATATGAATCATTAAAGTGTAATAAAATAAGTAGGTGCAATTTATCATTAATAAATACATTTATATAGGAAACAGAATGGGAAAGTAGTTAATCCCTAGGCCGACAACGTTCATTTGCAATGTATAATACTACCCATATAGTTCGTACTATCATGATGTCCACTTTTGGCTTTAATACAATTATTTTCAAGCCAGTTGTTTTTATTTCATGCCTTTTTGTCTATTTGGTGCACAGCCGTACCCTACAAAGAATAGGAATAGAATGAGTTTAATCGAATTCATAAAGAGCTGCAAAATGTTAGGTTTAGTGGAATACAATGAGGAGCAAGTAAAGACGTTATTAGAAAATGAATGAAATGAGACATTGTGAAGTGGTATTTAAACATCCGACAATGGATAGCAAGTTAATTTATAAGACGCCCCATAAATATGTGCAGAGCCCACGTGGTCGCATCTCAACAATAGGCTGAGTGAATGGTATATATTTAAAGGCAGAAGCATGGTCTGTCTAGGCGTTCATTATTATCTTTTTCAACATAAAGATCTAAGCCCTCATAAAAATCAGAGATATCTCTAGCTGTGGAATCGCATATCGCT